GAAACAATTAAGAATGTGTGGAACAATCACGAGATCAGCGATGAAATCATAAAACATTTTATTGAATCGATGCCAACCAGAATTACCTCAGAAATAACGGCAAGGAATGGTTCCACAAACTGCTTAACAGAGAAATTGTGAACTAAAGATATTTTAAAATATTTTCATATATGTTGTAAATTGTTTGTTAAAAAACTAATTTCTTTCATTTCCTCCCAAAAAATGTTATATTTAGATTTGTATCTTTTATTTTATAGATTTTTGTATTTGTGTTTAGGTTCTTTGCTTTTAATAAAGTCTATTATGTTTTATTTATATAGAATTTGTTGAAAATATGGGTTTATGTGCATTCTAGAAAAAATAAAATGTTTACTCGGTGATGGAATTTCTATGGCCACAATTGTCAGTAAATTCCAATAATAAAATTAGTTGACAACAAAAAAAGTCATCTAAAATATATTCATTCCTTCATACAATATTAACATTCGTCCTAGAAACTTCAAATCAAGCTTCGAACTCTACATGTGGAAGGTAAAACAAGACTAGAGGAGATCTCAACTCTTTTCTCCTAACCTCGTAACTGGTATGGAAGCTAAAGTATAGCCTCATGTCGAGCCAGCTTGGAAATCAAAATACAGTGTCAGTAAAATAGCTGAAAAATAAATTGTTGGAATAATGTGTTAAATTAACCTCCCAAATAACTTTGAAGACCACCCAATCAATGCCCAAATTATTCATATATTAATTTTTAATATTTACATAACATGAATTATTACATAAAATGAAACATGAATTAACATTTTTATTACATGGTTAAATTTGTATTAAAAATGAATATATTTCTTGTTAGGCAAATTTAGAAAAAATTGATATGATTGGAATTGAAGTTAGAGTTGGACACACAAATAAAAAATCTGATGCGAGCAACACATGACTTTCATATACCCCTCTACTTTGAATAGAAATTATTTTCTGGCAATGTTGGGGTATTATAAAATTTTTGAAGTATATTTTAAACGGAGCTAAAGCTTAAAGCTTACAGATAAGAAATCATTAAGACCATTAAAATGACAAAAATTCTATTTATTATATCAATGGTAGGCAAGTTTTATAAACCACATAACTTCAGTCTCTGAGCCTTTCAGCTGACAGAATGAATAACTATAATTTCAACATTTTTGAGTAATCTCATTTTATTGATATTTCTAGTTGGAAAAGTTGTATCTATTCAGACAGTGAGCAAGTTGATTGCAGAGTAGGTGATAGCGATGTTGAAATATAAAACTGGGGATAGAGGTATACATTTTGACAATGGATACATCACTAAAATTAATAATAAAGAATGTTGAGCTTGGAGTTAGTCATTCAGACAACCGAAAGGTTTATATATACCTAGAGAGATTTTAAAGCACGTCTGAATATTTAACCTATAAATGATTACGGGTCACATGGGATGGGATTTCACAAAGGGAAAATTTACCAAATTATTCACTCATTTAGTTTTCTACAAGATTACTTGATGATTTTTTGGAATAAACGGCCCATAGATACCTAACTATTTAAATATAATATCATATCTTGAGTTATTAAACTACAGCAAAAAGGTTATTCACATATCCATGAAATATTTTTATAATTCACTTTTTCTTTCACACAAGTACAATTAAATAGTATTTTAAACATTTAAACATTGGCCTTATTCGGCGCATTTTAATTTTTTTTTTTTTAATTAGAAAAAAAGTTTAAAAGTATACATTTAGTAAGAAAATTTTATTTAATTTAATTGGAAACATGTGATTTACGTTAGATAATTTTAGTTTCCAGACATAATCATTTATATGTTTTTCGTCACTATGTGTTGCCTTCTACAACTTTTTTTATTTAATATTATTTTTCCTAAAATTCTCCGCTTTCCAAGGATACATTATACGTATATCTTCTGACTCTTATTTCCGGAGATTCATTTTCAACCTGGATAAGTATTTTTCTTTTTTCCTCCAGTTTCCAATTATCATATTCTTTCAAACTTCATATTTAGCCATTTTTTATAGTTACTGCCAAGAAAAGAATTATTTTTTTAATGTACCATATTAAAGGTACATCAGAGGAAGACGTATACGAACATTGGGCATTTAAGCCCTGTAAAGTGACGTCAATGAGGATAAGACCTAAATGATATTAAAGACCACTTAATTATGCAATGATTCATCGAGTTGATTGAAAATCGTTAGAACCGTTTTTGTGAAAATTGTAAAAATGTGTTTCACCGCTGATATAAAGTGGCACTTCCGGTTAGCCGATTTTAAGGAAATAGTTGCTGTCACATCTAAGGCATGTATCTGTCTTAAATACGTAATATCAGTTTCGTAAGGCTTTTCGTTTTTGGGCTAGACGTTTTCACAGATCATTGTGCGGGACTTTGTTATTTCGAATCAGGAGACCTCAAAACAGGTATGTTCGTAAAAAACTCAGATTCGAACATTTTCACGATCGAATACTTACCCTTACATATATAGGTAAGTGAAAGTAAAAATATGTTGAACTTTTTAATTGATTTTTTGTTTATAATCAATTCCTCTATGAAAAATTGTGCTGGCCATTGTAAATAAACACACGTCATTGATACATATGAACAGATATTTGTTATTTGTTTCTCACAATGCTAGTATTGTTTCTTGCTATGTATAATATACCTGTAATAAACAAATAAAGAAGATATAACACTAGGTTAATGCGATTCATTTTTATTAAGATAGAATACATATTCTGTAGTTCCGATGAACGCATTTGTTTAGAGATAACAATAATTTTTTTTATTTTATTTTTTTGTAGCATATGTTTATACATGTTAAAACATTTATAAATAACATATGTGAATAAATCGTTTATAGTCCGTGGTACAGACCCCTTTTTATTAAATTATTTGTGTAAAGATTTGTGTAAAGATGAAATCAGTACATGAAACTTTGTGAATAGCTTCATCTCATCGTAATCAACTATTTTATTTACGAAAACTCTTGGAATAGGGGTGTTTTCAATCTGGAGATCGGAAAACTTTGTATATTTAATAAGGTACTAAAAACTTGTAAATACCCATTTGCTTCCCAGTTGGCTCGTAAGATAATTTGATCACAAAATCTAGAAAATATGTGTCCTACAAAAATATTCGGACGTTTGCCCTTTATAACCTCGTTATGTTGACATGGTGAAGGTCGCTCCAAACGGCTTAATATTTTAAGGCATCATTTTTGTGCTCAAAATTGAAGATTGAAGTGGAAAACAAATGGGTATTTACGAGTTTTTAGTGTCTAATTAGATAGACAAAGTTTGCCGATCTTCAGATTGAAATTGCCCCAATTCCAAGTATTTTTGTAAATAAAATATTTGTAGGTTACGATGAGATGAAGCTATATACGAAGTTCCAGGTGGATGTTAATTATTTGATAAGAAGGGATCTGTATCATTGCTCCTTATAGAGAGAGGAAAGTTAAGCTATTCTTTAGATTACAACAAAGCCATAAATCAGTTGAACTAAGATACGAATTGGGAACTCATAAGACGACCAAAGAGAAGGGATCTGTATCACTGCCCCTTATAGAGAGAGGAAAGTTAAGCTATTCTTTAGTTTATAACAAAGCCATAAATCTGTTGACATAAGATACGAATTGGGAACTCATAAGACGACCAAAGACGATGGTCGACAAATATATAAAATTATGAAGAACATTTTATTAATAAATCATTACCAAACGGTGGGATGATGAACATTAGCTTTGTGCAATCATGAACTGTTTGGATTTCAAGCTTTCCCATTTTTTCCACATTATTACACTTATTACCTTTATGGTAAGATCAGATGGCGATAAGATCTTTAAGAGCCCAAACATTGGAACGGACGGCGGCATATGGTGAGTTAAAAGACCGTGGAGGGGAGTAGGCCGATAATGCCGAATCACGTGCTATTGTCCTCAGGATGGCCGGTGATCGATCGGAAGCTCGCCAGGTGGAACACCACTTTAAAACACTTCACTAGTTCTTGTTCTCACTGCTCCCTTGTTCTGTCTAGTTTCTCTTATTTGCCACGTTCTTCCCTGCCCGTTCAGAAACAAAGGGAGTCGAAGGGTATCGTAAGGGGTAGAATAAACTGGACTTTCACGTCGAAAATAACAATGGTTAAGCTTACATGGAGGCTATAATGAAACTGTTAAACGATTATGTCAAATATCAAAAGAAGTAATCTTTCTAGATTGTTCCTTGCCACCACCACAAGTTAATACGAAAACTATATTGATAATGTTATGAAATGGTAAAATCATTATACTTGTTTATCAGTTTGCATAATTTTTTATATTAAAGACTATATAAAACAAGAAAATTTAATAAAATTAAAACAACAAAATTTCCTAAGTAGCATCTCTAAATACCACTTCTGTAAAATGATTAAAAATTGCAATGTTTTTGATTATTTTACAGTAAAACGAAAAGTTTTAAAGTTTAATAACTATGAAGAGTGGAGGTTCATTTTTCATTTGGTTCATTCCAAACTGTTAAAGTTTAAGGGTAGTCAAGAAAATTCATATTTATCATCTGAGTTCTTTTATTTATTTATTTAATTTTTTTTTTGTTTTTGGGTCTTCCCCTTCCTCGCCGTTAAGGCTATACGGGGTTTTCCCGGGTCAGGGGGAGTGGGCGGGGATTTAAAAGACGCCTTTGCACCAGGACGCGAAGTCATGATTATTTTTGTATCATTTATCATATATCAGATTGCCGGGCAACGGTGGAGCTGTGCACAACGAGTTAGCCCATTCGGCCACCCCGCCCACAACATCTGAGTTCTATCGTATTATAAATCTTCCTTTAGTATAATGCACGTTCTACTGACAAATCAAAATCAATTATGATTGCAATCAAAAGAATGCATCCCTCGGAGCTTGCCTTATAGACTTAAGAGATATGGAAGTTACCAAAATTAGTTGTAATAATAAGTTACTAGTACAGACCTAGCCTCTTTGAAATTTCAGAGTTGTGCATCTTGGGATTGTCTTGCGCAATCTTCCTCCTCTGCAGCCTGGACCAGACCATGAAGGCGTTCATCGGTCGTTTGATGTGAGGCTCCATCTTGGCCTGATGCATGTGCATTGAGTCCTGATGCACTTGCTGTCCTTGCTGTTGAGCGTGGAGGGTTCCTAGCATGTATGACGGTTCCGTCAGATCAGCCCTAGGAAGAAAGTTAAATTAAAATCATTATTATTATCATTATTCGAATATAATCAACATAAAATGTTCAAGAACTATAAATAAATTTCTTTGATAGGAAGAAAAAATGTGACATTTCGTAATGGCCAACTACATGCATGGCCCTTAAATATTTCATTAGATTCATTTAAATGACTAACAAAAACTTTTTTTTTTTTTCGACTTATCTAATGAGGGAAGAAGACGGCAAAGGACGACGTGATTCAAGCTTCTAAAAACTTTAACAAAAATATAAAAGTTATGTAGAAATTTTATTGGGAATATATAAAGGTTCTGCGATTTTGCCACCACTCGTTTTGTTGGAAGGCTAGGAAGAGTCAAATTAATAAATAAAATGAATCGGCGAATTATCAAATGGCAGCCTACGTCTGCCGATAATACCCATGAGCGTATTATTACACAGGGAAGTAAATAACTGAAAAATTTGAAAGAAGAAATTGCAAAAAGACTCATCAAAAATCTAGGAAAAAATTATTTTTAAAATTGTTCTTCTTGGTATATATTGTGTTTCCTATAAAAATATTAATACATTGTAATAATAATAAACTACTTAATATACGCCCTTGCTAGTAGCGAATAACGAAAACTGCACGTTTGAGCGCTTCAGTACTGCATACAACAAAATTAACTTATACGATTAGGTCATGAAAAACGTTTGCATTGTAAATAAATTCTTAAGAAGATGGTCGATTTTAACAACGGATCGAAACATAAATTATGATTTATTTGAAAATTAGCAGAATGTACCAAAGAATATAGGAGGAAACAAACAGCATAGCGCCAATGACACTATACGGTAGAGGCGAAATTAAATAAATAAATTTTAATAAGAATTAGCTATTTAGTATATTATAGAGTTTGAAGTCTTTTATCCACCTGAGATTTTCCTTTATTCAGTCTCCCTCCCCCTTCCAATATTAAAGCTGTATACGCCATTGCAAATACCGAATGAGAAAAACTTCACAGTGAGCTTCTGGTTGTATCACTTTATACAATAAAATCAACCTATATACGATTAGGTCATGAAAAATGTTTTCATTGTGATTAAATTCTGAAGAAGGAGATCGATTTTAATTAAGAGGACATAGGCAGAGAGGTAGAAGTTACTTGTTAACGATAAGTGCTCACTCGATAAGTCGTGTACTTAATAACAAAATATCGTCAAATGTTAAATACTGCTACGTCGGAAAAAATATTTGAAAATAATGAATGCTATTATTTACCAATTGACAAAGGTTCCTTTTATTTTCATTTTTTCAGCTGTTAATTATACAAGTGGCCTTTTGTTTTTAGAATTAGCAAAAAGGAGTAAAGAATAAGTACAAAAGAATAATTGCCCCGGGGGAATTTTGAAAGGCAAACAGAAGGACTCGCTGAAGAAAATTACGTAAATAATGAAGAAAACAGCCTCGTTTAAATCTATTGTTGTGTCAAGTGACTAGTTATTTCCCCCAAAATGAGAAAACGATAAGTTTAATAAATGAGATTTTCAATGTTGCGCAAGCTATTTTTCTATCCTAGTCAAACACCGTCACTCAGTTATTTTGCATAAACATTTATCATTAAAAAAATAAAAAGTTGCCAACACTCCACATGCTTTTGTTTTAAAAAAATAAAGCTTCAATGAGTATATTTACCTTTTTATAAACAAAATAAAATAGGATTAGTAGGAAAAACATAATCACAAATAAATATATGTTAAGATTCAGTCCATGAATAAAGAACTATATTTTGATGATCTATTGTTCTCATATTAATGTTCCACAGTGCAAATAGATAATTGAAGAACAATAGACAAAGAAACAGACATAATAATACTAAAAAAAGGTCCATCAACAAGTTCTATGAAAATTATTTTTTAACATTAAAAAATTACTAAATGTATGTTCATTCTTAATACAGCTGTAAATATCATAAATAAATAAAAACATTAAAATGAATAACAATTAGAATTCTTACACTTTAATTATTGATGTATTAGAACTAAATCAAGTAAAAGGAAACTAAAAACTAAATAATACTTAAAATTGTTAGAAATTACGAATCACTTCATTTGTATACTAAATTTACGCATAACCAAAACTTCCTGGTTTTAATAATGATAATTATGAAAGAATAATATATATATATATATATATATATATATATATATATATATATATATATATATATATATATATATATATATATATATATATATATATTAAGATAAAAGTAATGAAAAGAAGGATAGTTGGGGTGATCAGTCAAATATAAAAAATGGCAAAAATAAATAATAATATTTATTTTAACATCTGTGGTCGTTTCGAACTGAAGTTCAGGCCTTCATCAGGGCTGATCGCTATTGATCGAAGAGATCGTTATTGATAGCGATCAGCCCTGATGAAGGCGTGAACTTCGGGTCGAAATGTCCGCAAATGTTAAAATAAATATTATTATTTATTTTTACTATTTTTATTTTTGACTGATCATCTCAACTACCCTTCTCTTCATTATTCACTACAGTCAACCATCAAACCACAATTAAGATAAAAATATGTTGTTGATAATAATATTTACAATAAAAATAAAATAAAACACGCTACCTACTGATCTGAAAAAAACATGATATGGAAAACGTAATCAACTCCCACTGTTCTGATACCCAATCTCTTTCAATTTTTGTCAGTGCCAATAATTATTATTATAATTATGAAGAAGTAGTTGTGTATTAGGTTTTATACATCGTTCATTTAATTTTAGATAAAGTGATTCGTGATTTCCAACTATGTTATGTCCTGTTTATTTCATAGTTTCCTTGTATTTAATTTAGCTTTATTGTTAGTAATTTAAATATAATAAAAAAATTCTGAAAAACCGTATATAAACTATTTTTTTAAATTTTACTGTAGGGTATGAATGTAATGATAATAAATTCTTGAAACGTTCACTAAAATATGTTGTATAATTAGTGACTAAACCTCAAGTTTCTTATAAAACAAATAAAAATCAAATAAAGTAATATTTACAATATAACATATTGTAAAATGAATTATTATATAAAGATTAAAAAATATATAGAGAATTTTACTAGAGAAAATGTTTACGGGTTGCTTGTCCCTTAGACTTATTTTCCTTACTGTTGGCTCGTTCTGATGCTTTGATGTTAATTATAAATCCTTTTTTTAAATTTATTGTTAGTTACTGATTAACCTCAAACAAAATGAAAGCAAATGAATTCCGTAAATAAAAAAAAAACAAATAAAAAAAAAACCTGACATGGAGCAATGGTCGGTCTATTGATTTCACTGTTGAATGCCATTCATCTGGTATTCAAATCCCCGGTTAGGAAAAAAAAAAGACCGAACCAGCAATCATTTATTGGCCTTTATTCGACCAAAGACAATCGTAAACTGTGACGGTTTCAATAGCAATTGGAGGTTTTTGGATTTTGGCACCCAGCGCTACCGGCTTTGTCACAGGACGGGAGGAAAACATTGGAACATTGGAAAATGCATCAATGGTCTCCCAGGTAATGACAATCGTCGGACTAAGCAAACAACACTCGTTTTCAAAATGTTTATCGACTCATATAACAGATATTGAGCTATAGGTTGCTATCACTATAACTCGACAATTTTTCTACTTGTGTTTCCAGTAAAAAAACTGGCGATGCTCAACCCTCTAAATAAAAAATCTAAATAAAAACAATATGGTGCGGTGCGCGCATCAAACAACTTTTCCTTACCACTCTCTTCTTAGCAGAATTAAGTATTTTCAAACAAAGGGGGAGTGAAAGTAAAAATAATAGACGCTATATTTATTTATATTTTTTGTAGGTATTTTTATTTGTATAAGTATCCTTATATATACAAATTTTAATATTTATATCGCTGTAATTGATACAATTAAATATTAAATAATACCAACAATAGCATTTATGAAAACCGCATATGTATATTTACATAATATTGTCGGAGTCGGTATTACATTATGGAAGCGTGTTCTATTCTTTTGGTCGAGCTCGGGTGCGCAAGTATTCCTTTGGTTCCTCAATTACAACTAATCTCCGTTACAATCTCTTATATCTCCTTTAGTTAATCATCTGATTCTCTCATATTTTATATTATTTATAATCATAAATTCATATTTATTTAGATATCTTTTATATTAGAGATTAATGTGAAATGGTCAGTTGTTTCAAATAAAAAAAGTTATTTTTTTTTCTTTCCGAAAATTTCTTTCGGGGAAAGCTAATATTGAAAATTAGCAATTTAAGTCCAATTTAATTTTACACTTATATAATGAAATTAATCAAAATCGTTAGAGCCATTTTCGAGAAAATCGTAAAAATGTGTTTAGTCCATGATATAAAGTTCCACTTCCGATTCGCCGATTTTGACGAAAAAGTTGCTGTAATATCCAAAGCTTACAAAAACCTTAAATATGCAATTTACCTGTTGTACAACTTTCCGTTTTTCAGACAGACTGTTAACACACATACAGACCATTTTGCGGTATTTTAATTATATTGACTCAGAAAACTGAGATTCGAAAAATGTCTTTATCGCAATACTTATCTGTGTAACATCAAATCTAATCTTATTTGCACTCTGTTTTGGTCGTAAAAAGCTTATTACATTTACGTGTTAATGAGCTGAAAACTGCTTATTACTGGTAAAGTGTCAGTTATTAGAACATTTACCCCAATTATCTATCTTACCCAATCATAAATAAAAATTCTTGGAATAAATGGTATATATTCAAGTAATCTTACAGTTCAATAGTTCAGAACCATAATAAAATGTCGGATATGAAAATACAGATAAAAAGCAGCCAATATGCCGAGAAGACGAGTAAGAAATCCGGCTGTTATAATTAATGAAAATAAAAGATTTTATTCAACATATAAAGAACGAATTACGGAAAATGTGAAAGAACAGATGGCTACAAAATTAAATTAAAAATCACTGTGCCAAATGG